GAGAGACTGAAGTTAGCATCAGAGGGACTTCCCATTCTGAGGCCCTGGGAGGAAATCTCATTTCAAAGGGCCACCTGGTGCAGTTTCATAGCCTCATCCTAGAGGCAGCTTGGAGGCAGCAGCGGCTGCTCTGTCTGGGGAGCAGTGGGGGAGGTGAAGAGTTCACTGGGCCCACGGGCTGCAGGCCACGGGCCTCCCACCCAACCCCCGTGCCCTGGCCCAGTCCATCGTGGCCGCATAAAAGGTGACGGATGGTTAATGGGGGAGATAACGGGATTCATAAGGGAAATTTATCGGTCACTCTGGTGGTATAAATATGTTTATAGCGGACCGAGGGGAAATGAAGAAGCCCCAATAAATCACTGTGAAGCCACCAGCCACTAATAGGCGAGTGGCCTCAGGAACCCCAGCATTGGCGAATGCAGACACCCCCTCTGGCTGCCCGCTAATGGCATGGTGCGGGGCTGCAGACTTGTCCGGCAGGACACAGACTTTAGCGTGGTGGGAACAAGACCCCAGGGGCCACCACTGAGCTGTCCCACCTGCCTGCGGCTGCCTGCACAATAAAAGGTACAGATAAGGGGTGCATGGACCAAGTCTGGGGACCCCCTGGTGCAGGTACTAAGGAGGCACTGAAGTCTGACCTGACTACAAAATTTAACATTGCCCCATCCCCGTCCCTGCTTTCCTCTAGTTTTCTGTCAGTAGAGTGATTTCACAGCCTCAGAAAGCTGTTGGGAGGAAGGGTGTTTGGCACACAGGCCTGGCAACTCATAAGCCTCAATAAGAGGTAGTTATTAGTACTAGTTATTAGTACTAGTCTTAGTTAAGACAGGGTCTTTCCTTCTTGGGAAAGTGCCAGGCACATGCAAAACCATTTATATAAAGGTGGACAACACTGTCCCCAACTTATAGTTAAGAAATCTGAGGCTCAGAAGTTCAGTTTTGTCTGAGGTCACATAGAAGACAAAGGCTCTGTTGAGCCTCAGTTTCTCTCTGCTGAAGTCTAAATCCTGCCCGTTCCTGGGGTCCCCTTTCTCCACTACCTCTGGATAAAGCCAAGGGCTCCTTCCTTTTCTTCCTCTTTCTCTCTCCTTCCTCTCCTCCCTCCCTTCCTCCTCTCTTCCTCCCTTCCTTCCCAAATACTTAGGTAGCTCCCTCTGCAGGGCACTATATATTAACCAAGGCAGGCAAGCCCAGGCCTTTATGCTGCTCACTGGTGGAGAAGTCCGCCCTGGATGGTGGGAAAGAATGGTGTGTGCGCTGAAGCTGTGGCGGACACAGCAGCTGAGAGCCTGGGTGTGGAGGTCTAGAACTGGCAGGAGATAGGGTCGGCAGAGGGGACACCTTGAGGTGGGGGAGGAGGGCGAGCCAGGTCTTCCAGTGCCCACTGGGATGGTTTAACGCTTCCCTCAATGTTCAGGGGCTGCACAGACACCCCACGTCAGGCTGTACCATCACGTGTCCCTTTTCCACCTCCCTTTTCTCATGGCCATGCTGTCCAGCAGGGTTAAGCCTGGACAACGCTGAACCTGTCCCTAGTTTCCCGCCAGGACAGGCCCCTCCCCATCCTGTCATTCCCCGAGTCCCAGCCCAGCCTCCTCCAGTCGGAGGTTTAGGTCCCCACAAGGGCACTGGGAAGAGGGAACCGGCCCTTTGCGGTCCTAGAGGCCAGCCTCCCTTGCTACTATCCCCCAAAGCGAAGGCGAAGTCAAAGACAGCGGGGAAGCTGCCTTCGCCTCGCCCGCGTCTCCGCGTCTCTCTGGACCAGTCTCTCTGTCTCTCCTTTCCGCTGGGGTGCCTGTCTCTCCCCTGTCTCTGCAGGTCTCTGGCACACCCTCGCTCGCTCTCTCCCTCCTGCTCCGCGGCTCCGTCTCCCCGTCTCTCCAGTCTCTCTCCCTCCCGAGGCCGGGCGGGGGAAATCGCTCCGTAAATAGGCGGATGGCCCCGGGCGCTCCGGGCGCAGACACTCGTTTTTAGAGCCAGTAATTGACTCCTTTCAGTTGATAATTCATGGCTTGCATATGCGCTTTAATGCGGGCGCCCGGGGAGGCGCGGCGGGCGGGGCGGCCGGTGCGCGGAGCGAGCGGCCGAGCGGCCCGGCGGGGAGCTGGACTGTAGGCGGGTTCGGGTCCAGGGCCGTCTGTCAGTCAGTGCTTCGAGAAGAGGGGGCCCTCCGCTGGGGTCTGCCGGTCCAGCTCGCCGAGGGAGCGCAGTGGGTGGGATGGGGACGGCGGGAGCAAGTGGGGCCGAGGAGGGAGCCTCGGAAACGCTTGAGGGATGGAGGGAAGGGGAGACCCAAGGACACCCCTTACCCAAGCAGCCTCGAGAAAACAGGCTCAGAAAGCAGAGGACTTACCTGCATCCCACAGCACAGAAACAAAACCAGAACTCAAGGTGCCCCTTACCCAAAGGGCCCTAACCTGGGGTCTCAGTTACCGACTTTTGTGGAAGCCTCCTTGGCCTGGGAATTTTCTGAGCTGCATTCCTCCAGTGAAGCCACCGGTTCTATTATTCCCAGACAGGGGACCCCACAAGGACCTGCGCATTCTGGACACAGACTCCCAGACCTGAGCCCGCCACGCACCTCACAGTGACTCCCAGGCTGGGGAGAGCGGAGCAGGTCCTTGCCCACCCAGCTCTCAGCCTCTGTGAACCTCTTAACCCAGGCGAGGCACATGTAATCACTGTCATCCTACGGGAGAAGCTGAGGCTTAACCTAGCTGGGGAACTAGTGTTGCTCGGAAGGATGGAGGATGCAGAGACAGAGCCCAGATCAAACCTCGCTGGGGGAAAGAATGGGAGTGGGAGGGGAGAGGAGGTGATTCCCTGTCCCTGTCCCATCAGCACCCACACATGGACCCTGCGGCTCCTCTGTGAGGGCCTCTGAAGAAGCCTAAGACTGGCCCGCGGCCACACAGAGCAGGGAGTGATTTCAGCTGGCCGGGTACTCACTAGTAGTGAGAGATTAGATTAGATCAACAGCAGCTGGAGCTGGCGCTGGGGAGGAAGGCTGTTGTGGAGCCCAACTATCAGCTCAGGGGAAAGCCAGGCCTGGAGGGAAGTCTGACCCCAGGATGGGGGTTCCCATTACTCAGTGGCTTGGACTGGGATCTGCCCCAGGTTAATCTCAGCCAAAAACAGAGAGAATTCCATCCCATCTCTAAAACTTACTGTTTACCCCAAAGGCAAAGCACTCAGCTTATTTCTATCACTATCTCTTCATCTGTTCCCCATCTGTGCAGTGGAGTTTGGACAAGGCTTTAACCGGAAAAGTCTTGATGACCCAGGATCTGAGAATAAGTAGGAAGTAGGAAGTGTCTGGGCCATGCGAAGCTCAATACTGTCCCCTGCTGCCCAGATTGTGGCAGCCAGTGGGATGCAGAGAAGCAGCAGGAAATTGGATGAAAACATTCCACACTCCCCCACCCCCTACCAGACACCCCCCCCACACACACACCAGCTGCTTAGACCTCTCTCTTCTAAGGCAGGGAAGACATAGCAGGAACCCTACCAACCCTGACCGAGGGGTAACGAGAAGACTTCTTCGTCAGCAGAGCTCTCAGACTCTAAGGTAGAGCCTGGGAGAGATGGAGGCCACAGTGAGGTCAGCAGTAGCCCTGCCCGGCCTGCAGCTGGACACCTCAAATGATTCCTTCTAGTGCACATGGAATCAGGACTATCCTTCTGGTGTGATTCCTGAGATCTTCGTCTTAGTTAAACTGGGGCTTCTTTCTGCCTGAAAGTCTACCCTCAACAAGAGTAGGCTAGATAGGTAGGTGGATGGGCCAAATCCATTCTTGCCTTGAGAGGTTAACTCCATTCAGTTTCAAAACAGGGAGCAATGAGTTCAGTCATCTGCCTAGATGACCAGTAAGTAGTATTACAAAAAGTAGCATATGGGAGGGGAAGGTTTTTTTTTTTTTTTTAAGATTTATTTATTTGTACATACAGAACTGGGGTACAGGCCAGAGGCTCAGGGGCGGTGAGAGGCTTCACCAGAGACAGAGCGGGGAGCAGAACAGGCAGATCAGAACAGGCAGATCCACAACGAAGCACACTGCTGAGAGGAGCAGTGGGCGGGCCAGGAGAGGTCTGCCACACCGTGTGGTCACCTCCGGGGCAGGAGGGAATCGAACTCATGCGGAAGTGGCTTTAGCTTCTCAGTGCAGTGCTTTAAGCTGCTGCGCCACCAGGGAGGGGAAGGTTTTGATAGGCAAAGACCTCCAAAGAGATCAGAGGCAGGGAATGTCATGGAGTGGAGAGGACAGAGGAATCAAAGAAGGCTTCCTGGAGGAAGTGGCATTTGACACTGGGCTTAAGGAAAGAGGAGAACGTGAAGGTGTTCCGGTGGAGGGGGTAATATGGCCAGACACAAAAAGGCAGACACACACGGTGTACTTGTGCTTACAAGAAGGCTCCAGTCTGGGGAGTGGAGGAGGCTGTGCTGTGGTAGACCCATTCCCAGGACACTCTGGAAGCTCTCAGGAAGTGCTGAGTGTTAGGCTGAGAAATTAGCACTTTGGGGTGAAGCACTGGTCTGTCAATGGGGGTCAGTGTCCTAATCCAGGATCTGTGTTGACTAAGGTTCAGTCTCTCAACCTTGCTTTCTAGAACTTCCTCTAGACAGAGTGGGCTCCATGACAACTTCCTGGTCAGGGAAATGTCTAGCAATAGTAGCTCACTGCGAAGTCAAGCTGGCAGGTATCATGGACTTCATTAAATCTAAACCATTTAATTCATAGATGAGAAAACTGAGATCCAGTGAACAGAAATAACTTGTCCAGCATCACACAGCAAACCAGTGCAGGCATGAACTCAGGTCTCCACTCTCTTGACTTGGAGCTTTTTGCCCTGTGCTACAAACTGGGGCAGCATCTGGGGGACTGAGCTAGAGGAGAGCAACCAGAGTCATCTGGCCACCAGGTTATAGTCCCCAACCCCCATCAACCAGAGAACACGAGGTTGGCCAGTCAGGAAATGTTTATTAAGCCCTTCACCTTGTTCCCCATCTTGGACTGTCAGGCAGTCCATGCACTGAGCACCCACACAGAGGACTATAGTGAATTCTGTCAGCCTTCTGGGAGGAGGAGATATGAGACAGGTTGTTCACAAGAGGCACAGGGAATAGACTTGGATGAGGATGTAGGAAGGCTCCAGAAGGCACAACCTGTCACTCAGATTTCTTCTGGTTCATAGTCAAGGTCTCTATTTCCTTCATGAACCGGAGACATAGCTCTTCTTCCCATGGCAAAGCGATGCATTGTACAGCCACTGGAAGTCCCACGGATCCTCTCACTCCCTGCGGGAGAGAGTCTGTGGGCTCAGAGCCTGTTTCTTGCTCACAGGCCCATTGCCCAGCCCTCCTCACCACCCACAGGCTATGCGTAAGCCTGGAGATTCCATCCCCAATCTATATTAAGGTGGAGATGTCCTGGACCTCAGAGTTACAGGCTTCCTTAGCTCTCAATATAACCCGAAAAAACTGCTCTGACTTTGCCTAGAATCCTCATCTTAGAACATATATTAAGATTAACATTTGTTCCCTGGGCAGAGACTTGATCTGCCCAGCATCCACCAGTGTCCTCATCAAAGGAAGAAGAATGTGCAACCCCCTAATCCAGAGCCTGATGATACTTCTGCAGTGAAAGGGTGCCCTGACCCCAAATTCCAACCCCATCAGGAACAGGGAGCTGATGTGTGTCCCTGCGTGAAATTCAAATACAATTGTAGGAATTCAAACACATTTTCATCCCTTTATGATGTTAGCATGCAAGCTCTTATTTGCTTTGGATTCTACTTTGACTGATTGATGGTTTTGGTCAACTCCCTTCATCTGTGGCTCTTTTTTCATCATTTACAAAACCTCATAGGACATGTATGGAAATATATAAATATATCTTAGTTGGCCAGAAGTAGACTGGCATAAGGGAAAGGGAAAGTTTCTTTTCTTTTTAAGATTTATTTACTTATGCATACAGACCTGGGGTACAGGCCAGAGGTTCCGGGATAGTGAGCGGATTCACCAGAGACAGAGTGGGGAGCAGAACAGGCAGATTGATGAAATACATATACTGCTGAGGGGAGCAGTAGGAGAGACAGGAGAGGTCTGCAGCACCATGTGGGTCACCTCCGGGGCCAGGGATCGAACTCACACTGAAGTAAGTGTCAGTAGCTAGCTTGCAGTGCTGAGACCTAACCCTTTGCGCCACCAGGGAGGGCCCGAGAAGAGAAAGTTTTGATGGGCGAGAACCTCAAGACAGTTTAGAAGCAGGGAAGTATCAATATTGTTATTTTTTCAGAATTCAGATTGGTAACTTCATCACCAAAATCAATTTTTAGAAAAAGTAATCTATTTAATGTCTAATTCAGGCACAGGCAAAATTTTCAGATAGTCTGGCTCTATCTCTCACCAAAGTGGGGCTGTTATTTTAGACCCTGCACTAAGTAAGCCCGAGGGAATATGTCCTTTTGTGAAGCCACCTCTGAATCAGTAATAGCAGCATTTTTGAACACTTCCTACACAAAAAGCCTATGTCATGGCTTCACTCTTTTTCAATTTAACTTTTGGTACAACCCTGCAGGGTAAATGTTTTAACTCCCATTTTTCTGGCCCAGAGAGGGGCAGTGTCCTGCTCAGTCACACAGCAAGCAACTAACTAGGGGCCTTCACTCTGCCTCTGGAATCAACTTTCCCTACAGACGTTTTTACTGGATTTGCTGAGTATTTTCTTCCCTAACAAGGACAGAGGCCACTTGGAGATCAAATGATGTGTGTGTCCTTCGGATGGGGTGAAACTGCACCAGAAATGATAAGGAGTAAACACTAGGAATGACGGCCCCTCCCTCGTCTCCACCCTACAACTCAGCTGGGATCAAGACAAGGGGGTAGTGGGTAGGGGATAAGGATGGAGAGGGAAACTGACCTCCTGGAAATTTCTGTCATAACTATCTCCGTAGTACCCCTTGTAGAAGACCAGATCCTCCTCATCCTGTAGTGTCACGGTGGTGACTGGTACCACACCGGCAGGGAAGTCCAGCACGTTGAACAGGCTTAGATAGGAGAGGCTATCTACCGAGAGATTCAGAAAAACCCAGCAAATCTTCAGGTGCGGGAGAGGATGCGTGAGCGCCCCCTTGGGGACATTCTGGAAGCTGCAGCCCTCTGGGCGTGCGAGCGCGCCAGGAGTCCACCTCCGCCAGCCCCAGGGAGTCTTAGTGCCCGGCTCTATGCCAGCTTCCCGACGTCGCGGCTTCCCTGGGAGGTGGGGAGTGCCATATCCTGTGCATAGTGGGGGAACCGCTGTGGCAAAACGTTGGATGGTTTTTCCCAAGCTATACAGCTGGTGTCTAACAGGGTTCAGCACCTGCTGCAGTGTGGGCTGTACCCTGGGCTTCGGGACAGGGTTTGTGTGCTGCCACCCTGCCTGGCAAACGCAGCCCCTCTACAGCAGACACTGGTAGGCAGGGAGTGGACATCAATGTTGGGGCAGTGTTGTCCACAGGGGACACCAGAACACAGCCAGTGTGGGGTATGACTTTGGGCAGCCCCAAAGAGAGAGCATCCTCCGGGAAGGAGCCCCACTCTTTGGGGTTTTCACCCTACATTAATGCCACCTGGGAGGCCTGCACCTGCGCTGGGCATAAGACTGGGGGTGCTCCTGACAGTGCCCTGGCCTCAAGCCTGGTGTCAAGTGGGCTGAGTTGAAGACACCTTTTGAAATGGGCAGCAGAAAGCATGTTGAGTTTGAATGTCTGTGCTATGGGAAAGAAGCCGGACCCAAAGCCTCATCCCTCGTGATTCCATGGATATGGAATCACCTAGAAAAGGCAAAACTGTAGAGATAGAAAGTGTATCAGTTGTTGCCTAAGGTTAAGAGCATGAGAGAAATTTGGGGGATGCTGGAAATATTCTATATTTTAATTATGGTGGTGGTTATACAACTATATACATTTGTTGAAATTCACCAGATTACACATTTAAAGTTGGTGAATTGTACTGCATGAAAGTTTTACTTTCATGAAGTACCTTTTTTTAAAGATTTATTTCATTTATTTATGCATACAAGAACTGGAGTATAGGCCAGAGGGAATGAGAGGCTTCACCAGAGACAAAACAGAGGACTGATGAAGTACACTGCTGAGGGGAACAGCGGGCGGGTCAGGAGAGGTCTGCTGAGCCATGTGGGTCAGCTCCCTGGCCAGGGATCGAACTCATGCCGCAATGATTACCGATAACTTCATAGTGCCGAGACTTAACCCCTTGTGCCACCAGGGGTTAAAGATGTAATAAAGTACCTTTTTAAAGTGAATGGAAATTGGGGATGCTGCTAACTGGTGCAGGGTTTCACTTTGGGATGGTAACAACGTCCATAACTAGACTGTGATCATGACTGTCTGGCATTCTGAATACACTGCCTTCTACACTTTAAAATGACTATCAGACTTTTATCCCAATTTCTAAAAATAGTGAACAGAGAGAGAGGCAAAGTCCACAGCAGCAGGGCTCAGAAGTCCTGAGCTCCTAGTCTGAACCCATCAGCACAGAGGTCCCCTCACCCCAACTTTTGGCAGGGTAGCCTATGGAGAAGGCAGGGTCCACAGTGGGTATCAGTAGCACATCCAGGCCGAGGGACCGCCACTCTGCTATGAACTCCTGCTGATACTCCTGTAGAGACAGTGGATTGGGGGTCAGACCAGCGCAGGCCATTGTTTGCTGGATAAGGTCAGGGGCTGCCAGGCCCAGGCAGGTTATATCCCAGAAAGAGTTCCCAGTATGCAAAGTTATCTGGGAGGGGGTTTCTCTGGGAGCCAAGGTCAGGGGTAGGAAGTGGATGCAGCATGCAGTGATTTAGGGACAATGTGTGATCTGGGCCCAAGGCATATGGACTAGATTAACTTCCCAGGCACCAAATTTCCCAGCTCGGTGCAGATGGGCCTCCCCTGCAGGTCAGGAAAGAGCTCTGTCCCCTGTCTGGCCACTCTGTCACCACCCAGATCTCTGCCGCCCCTGTTCCCCCAAGGTCTCCCCAGGCTTATGTTACTTTCACAGCTGTGTGCTGCTCCCACAGTTGCTTGGTCGTCCTGGGGGAACAAGGAAAAACATGAAGGTCAGCATAGGGAAACCTCTTCATAAAAAGAGGCAGGGTCTGGCCGCAAGGCGGGCTGCAAACCAGCTGATGGACTCAGAGTGACCCTGTGTGTGGTCCCCTGACCAAGACCCTGTTTTTTTTTCCAAGCACACATCCTGTGGTCAATGTCCACCAGCCTCAGGGATGCAAAGGGTCTTCCCAAAACTGGAGGCCCATCCCCTAACCTATGGGGTACCAGTCAGCCTTCAGCCCACTCCAGCCCCAACTCTAACCAGTACTTCATCTTCAAGTCCCACCAGGTCAGGCCCAGGAGCAAACCCTAACCCAAACCAGACTCATCTTCCAACCACATCCTCACCCCACTTCAGCCCCATCCTCTACTCTAATTCAAACCAACCTCATCTTGAACTCAACCCCACTCAGTCTTTACCCCAACCTGACCCAAACAAACCTGAACTCAAAGCTTAACTCAATCAGCTCCAACCCCAACCAACAGTCCAAATGTGACCCAGTGTCAGACATGACCTGAACTCCTGATTAGCCTGAAGTTTAAATAGCCCTTACCCCGCAGTGGACTCCACTCAGTTCCCACCACCCCATGGAAAACCTTGTGAGTGGAAACTGGGTGTGAGGAGTTGGCCACTCACCTGACTCCACGAAACTCTTCCAATTTCTGGCTAACTCGGGGCTCCTGGAGGTGGGGAGAGATGGGAAGACCAACTTTAGACATCATAGGGGCACACCGACCTGCCCAGGGTGGGGCCTAGGAAAAGCCACGCTGCCCACACAGGGACATGGAGTCCTCTCCGCTCCTCACTAGCCCCCCACCTCCTCTACATCCTGCTTGACCCACACCCCTTCTCTAACGCCTACCTTCCTTCACTCCCTCAAACCTCTCCGCTCCTCACTAGCCCCCCACCTCCTCTGCACCCTGCTTGACCCACACCCCTCTCTAACGCCTACCTTCCTTCACTCCCTCAACCCTCTCCCCCTCTCAGCTTCTCTGAAGCCGCCTCCCCACTCTTCTCTTTAGCCCCACTCTCAATTCCTCTTCACCTTGAACTCACCTCTGACCCACCACCATTCTCTGGGTCACCATCACAGAAGGTGGGTGACCTTCCCCCACCCTTTTTCTTAGTCCACCTTCCCCTTCTCTCTCTCTCTCTCTCTCTCTCTCTCTCTCTCTCTCTCTCTCTCTAGTTTATTGAGGAAAGGAGAATAAGGAAAGAGAAACACCTGCAGTCTTAAAGAACAAGGACGCCCCTCCTCTCCTTTCTGGGCCCCTTCTCCTTTCTGGAACCCCCTCCTCGGATCCCTCCACATCCTGGTCCACACTCACTCTATACTTCAGGATCCAGGCCAAGACACGCTTCAGTGCATCTGGCAGACGTAACTGGCTGACTGTGGGCTTCACACAGGGATCCACAATGTCCCCCTCACTGAAGAACAATGGTCACATAGCTGGTTAGTGACAGCCTCTCAGGCCTTAGCTGACTCCCACAACCACCCAACTCCCTCTCTGTAGATAAACCACAGGTTGATTCTGCTCCCGCCACTACCACCCCTGGAACACATGACTCCTGAACACAGGGTCCGAGTGGCTGACTGGTGGCGGAAGGTCACACAATTAGCCAGCGGCATCCCACCAGTCCAGGACCCCAGTCCCTCCACAACCCCCTTCCAGGGCTCAGGTTGCCTCCAGCCCCCACCAGAGCCCATTTATACCAAGCCTCATAGCAGAATCCTAACAAACGTACAGCTTCTCCAAAAGGGTGGCCCCAGCATCAGCGAACAGGCCCCCGGTAAACAGGTGCTGGAAGGCATATCCCCCGCGGGGGATGGAGAAGGGGACGACCTGCCGAGACAGAGGCTGAGTTGGGATCTGAGACCCCTCCACCCTTCCTCTTCTCTGTCTGCATCCCTTAGAATTTACAGAAGCTGGCACATCATTCGTGGGGAACCTCTATGGCTTGCCCCTTCCTGCCCTGCCCGCTTCTATTCCATCTTCACGGTCGCCTCATGTGGCTCAAGGGGGTTAAGAGATGCACCCCCACCCCCTGTAATGCAGCGGGTTGGAGCGCTGCACTGTGAAGCTAAGCCAAGCTGTGGCTGTTCAGTGTGAGTTTGATCCCCACCCCAGAGGTGACCCACATGGCACAGAAGACCTCTCCTGTATTGCCGACTGCTCCCCTCAATAGTGTACTTTGTCAATCTGCCTATTATGATCCCCACTCTGTTTCTGGTAAATCCTCTGGCCCCTGCACCTCTGGCCTGCACCCCAGTTCTGTATGCATAAATAAATTAATCTTAAAAAGAGAGAGAGAGATTGGCCCACGAGCACATAGCAGGTATGTGTGTCTAAACAGAAGATATCTTTTTTACAAAATTATTTATTTATGCATACAGAGCTGGGGTACAGGCCAGAGGTGAGGTGAGGGGATTCACTAGAGACATAGAGGGGATTAGAATAGGCATATTGACAAAATTCACTGCTGAGGGGAGCAGCAGGCGAGACAGGAGAGGTCTGCTGTGCCATTTGGGTCAGCTTCCTGGCAGGGGATGGAATTTGTGCTGAAGTGGCTGTGGACAGCCTCATGGTGCTGCACTTTAACCTGTTGTGCCACCAGAGAGGGCCCACGGGAAGAGGTTTAAATAACAGGGAGCTCCTTACAAACGTTTGATGGAGGGAGCAGAGACCAGGGCTATAAGAACCATAGGAGCAGGTCCCTGAGTCCCCATCACTGAAGAGGGAAGACATATCTTTATTCCTTTCTCACAGAATGGGGTCCACTCTGCCCCCGCCCTCCACCTCTATCCCCTCAGTCTTCTTCAAGAAGCTTAGGAGAAACACAGTTATCTCAGCAGTCCAAACTCACACATCACCTCCTTTCCCTCCAAGAACAGCCCAATCTAGCACCCTAACCCATCCCACCTCCTCCCCCTTCCTACCTCAGGCGCAATAAGCCTCACCTGGTGTCCTGCATCCTGGAGCAGCCTGGAGGTGAGCCTCATGGCTCTGAGCATGCTGGGCGATGGCTGGGTGAAGCCATCTGATTCACAGTAGCCAATGCGAAGGGGCTGGTGACTAGAGTACACCTGGAGGCAAGAAGGACTAGGTGAGACTCCGAAAGGAGCCTGGGCTGGGTCAAGGGGCCTCGCTCTCTCCAGGATTCAGACTTGAAGGCTGTGCCTTGGGTCACAGTTATCCTCAGAGAAATACACAAGAATGCCCAAGAGCCCCTTTGAGCCTTCTTATATACTGTCCAGGCTCTAGGTCCCCTGAGGAACTGCTGGAGGGATGGATGAAAATGAATCACACAAATGATTGAGTGGATCGAGTGGGCAAGTAGGGAGATGGTAGATTTGTGAATGAGCGTGGGTATATGAACAAGATGGTGAACAGGTGGGTGGACAGAGGGTTGAATGGGCAGAAGGGTGAGTAGATGTATTGAAACAAATATCTTTAAGCTTAAAGTGGTCAACAGAGATTGAAGATGAGGAGATCAATAAAAGCTAAGAATGGGAGACCCACAGTGATCATGGCTTGTAGAACTGGGATGTGTGTGGGGAATCAGAAGACCAACCATTCGCTGAATGGTAGACAGAGACTCCCTTTATGGAGAGGGTTCTGAAGCCAGATGCACTAGGTTTAAAGCCCAACACTGCTGGTTACTAGCTATGTGATTATAGACAATTCATTTCACTGCCCTGTTAGTAGGAAGAGAAATGTGCATTCTATCGTGTGAGTGTTAGGATACAATGGAAAGAAATTGCACATGTTAGGAACCAATAAATGTTGAATGACTTAATGAATAAATGAAGAACTGGAAGGGTCTAGAGCAACCTTCCATTCCAACTTCTTTATTGAACCAATGGGGAGACTAAGGTCCAGGGAAGTGACGTGGCCAGAGTTACCTCAAGGTCTAAAATCCCAAGTTACCTAGATACCCGGTTCTCAAAACCTTCTCTACTAAGGATTCCAATTGCATGCTGGGCATGTGATATGGGGGTCTCCCTCTGGAAGCAATGACACTGTGGCTGCAGGGAGCCAAGAGGCCAAGGAAGTGGGCATCAGCTGTGGTGGGAGACAAGTATGACTGAGCATGCAGCCTCCTTGCTCACTACACCTTGGGCTGGGAAAGGAGGTCTTGGCAGGGGATGGTTAGACAGCAGACAGGTCAGTGAGGAATATCAGTCTGCACCTCTACTCAGCTCACCTCCTCCTTGAAGGGCACGGGGGGCACAGTGGGGTCCAGTCGGTGCATGTCTTCACTCAGCAGGGCTTGCAGGCACAGCGCCAGGCTCTCTACATCCCGGGCCATGGGGCCAGCTGCTGTGGTCACTGCATGGAGAAGAGGGGAGAGAAGCACCTCTCATCCTTTCTGCTCAGGGGATGCCCCCACACTTCCTACTCTCATCGGGTAGGGGTCAAGGCCATGACCAGTGTCAAAGGAAGGGGTCTGATGCCATCCTAGGTCAGGTGTTGAAGACAAATAGAGCTGACAGACCAGCCTGGAACAGAACACCCATAGGCCAGCAGGAATGATAAATCTAGATAGAAGGAATGACACCAGCTTTTCCCAGGCACCTCTGTCACTAGTGGGGTTGATATACAACATAGGGTTGAGTAAAAGTGTCATTAGGAGAAAAGCTGACAGGTTTGTCCTTGAATGGGTGAAGGGTGGACAGCCACAACTCAGATAGGAGCATACCTGTTTTCACACCCTGAACAGCAGAAGCGATTCCAGAGTAGCTGCAAAACCCCAAACCCCCAAATCCCAGTTCAGGACCTGAAGGGAAGGGCCTGGGTGCCAAGGAGACTTGACACCCAGGCAATGAATTCTCCCAGGGCCCAGCACTGGAGTAGGAGCTGCTTTAACCCTTCTACGATTCTCTACTACTCAAGATCTCATTGACAGCCCACTTTTCTCATAGCTTTTGCTTGTAATCCCTTCACACACGTTCCATGCAAAGGAAGCTGCTTATACTCTTAAAACCTTCGGGACTCCACCCCAACTCTGCCTGTCCATCCTTCCCTTCCCTCATCTTGATTCTGAAAGTTGAAAGTGTAGGGTCTTAATAAGTCTCCGTGAAAGAAAACACCCACTTCATCTGTCAGTTCCCACAAGCTTTGAACTCTCCTAGAACCCTGATCACTTTCTGACTCAGGCATGTGAATGTCTAGGAACACCACAGAGGCAAGGAGGCAGGTCTGAGAATGCTCTGTGTCCCTGCTCCGGGAGCCACAACAGAGCAAGGACCCAGCGTGGGAGTGAGAGGTGGAGCAGTGGATGGGTGGATGGGTGAGGGGTGGCAAAAATGGACTGGTAGATGGATAGCCAGAGAAGTGAATGGATGAAGAGAGGCCTGAGTAAGCGAATGAATAAACAAATGGAAGGACGTGTGAAAGTTTTTCAAGGACATTGCCAATTCAGGGATATTTATCCATTTTGTCTATTAATATGTCCTAAGTACTAATATGCAACAGAGGAAACACTCAATAAACATTTGTTAAGTAAGTGGTGGGTACATGGTGAAATTATTTGTCCACAGAAACTCAGGTGATGACTACACGGATGGATGAAGAGATGAAGGAGGGATAGATAATGAAGACATAGATGGGTGAAGGCTTGAGGGGCAGTGTAGATGAACAGATGTCTATATTGCTGAATGAATGATATAATGGATGAATAAGTGAAAGGTCGATCCCATGGCCACCCCTAGCAATTACGGCGTGTTGAGCTATGGCTGAGACAGGAGTCACGTGAAGTCCTCCCACCTTCACTCACTTCCCCTGGCGCTGACTTGAGTGGATGAGACTTGATGTAGGGAGCAGATGCCTCAACCCCTCCAGGCCCTAATCCCTGTGGGCGGGGCTGAGCCTACCCGGACACCAAGTACCTGAGGCGGCGCCCGGTGGTCCGGAGGCTGTAGACACCACAGAAGCTGGCTGGTATGCGGAGACTGCCCCCTGTGTCGGTGCCCATGCCGAGGATGGACCCCTTCTCTGCCAGCAGAGCTCCCTCGCCCCCTGAAGAGCCCCCAGGTGTTTTCTTCAAGTTCAGAGGGTTCAGAGTCTGTCCATAGATGGGGTTGCTACAGTCAAAGCTGAGGTCAACAAAAGGAAAGGGGGTTGCTGAGAGGTGCAAGTGTAACAGGGAGGCTGGCCCTGGCCACCGGGAGGCCAGCCACCCTCAGGAGTCAAGCCGGGGCTGCTTCTGCTCCTGTGGTTCCATGAGCTCTTGCTGTCCCTTCCTGCTGTGGCGGGGACACTGAGCAAGACAGAGCCCGAGCAGAACTCAAATAAGCACCAGGAGCCCGGCGCCTCTGCTGTTGGAGTGGGGTCGGGTTCCTCACAAAAATGAGTACACTGGAGGTGGAGGGGGGAGGAGAACAGAAGCACACATAGAGAGAGAAGCTAGGAGAGGGAGGGAGATGGAACTTTCAGAACCTCAAAGACTGAGCGTCCCTGGAGACCAGGGAGCCCACCCCCATGTTATAAGATAAGGAAACGGGGCTCAGAGGGCACCAAAGACTCACCCCAAACCTTGGTCCTGGACATCTGTACACCAGCCCCACCTCTCCCTCTGCCCTGGACTGAGACTTGAAGTGTCCCTGGGCCCGGCCCCAGCTCCAACCCCAGCTTGGTCTCTGCTTTAGAAACCTGATCAGCGTCTGGGGCACGTTGGTCTTAACGAAAGGGATGGCTCCCTGAGCCTTGAGCACTTCCACAGTGACCGCGTCCTTGGCTGCTGGCCTCTCCAGGAGCTGGGACAGGCCACACGTGGAGTCATGACCCTGCAGAGAAGTGGCATTAACTCCAGCCCATGGGGCCCAAGGACCGAATAACTCAGCCCATCCCACCCCATCCTCACTTATGCTCACACCCCCGGAGTCAGTTGCACCCTGAGGAGATGGCAGAATAGCCTGGTGGCCAAGAGTCTGGGTTTGGGCACCAAACCACTGAGTTTGATTCCAGCTGGCCACTTCCTAGCAGTGCATAATTGATTATCTTTTTTTTTTTTTAGATTTATCTATTTATGCATATAAAAGCTGGGGTGTAGGCCAGAGGTGTGTGGGTGAGAGGGTTCAACAGAGATGGAGTAGGGAGCAGAACAGGCAGACTGACTGAAATACACTGCAGAGGGGAGCAGGGGGCCAGACAGGAGAGGCCTGCTGCTCCATGTGGGTCACCTCCCTCGCCTGGGATCAAACTCGTGCTGCAGTGGCTGGTGATAGCGTGATAGTGCTGAGACTTAATCCCCGTGCCACCAGGGAGACCCCGATGAAGTTTCTTGCCCAAAGTCACACACATGACGGTGCAAGCCCCCACGCATAGGTGCATGTCCACAGATGCACACCCACCCCGGGGCTCACCATGCAGTCATAGGTGTCCTTCAGGCTTACGGGGACCCCATACAGAAGGCCTCTCTCGCTCTTCTTGAGCTTCTTCAATGCCTGCAGTTGCCCCTCACACTCCCCCAGGAAATCTGTCAGGCAGTTTACCTTCTGGTGCACCTTCAGTGCCTGAGCAACATGGAGGGAACCCAGAAAGGGTCTTAGGTGAGGCCAGGGACAGGGATTCACCGGTCCCCTCCCACCATTTGACTCAGAGCAGAACAGAGGTGACACTGTGCCATAAGCCCCTCTCCAAGCTACCTCATCCCCAACTAGGTACACCTGCCCTCCAGCTCCCCAGACATCCTCCACTCAGCCCAGAACTCTTATTTGGGTCCTGACTCCTGACACCAACCTGTTCTAAGTAGCTACAGAGGACGCTCTCCAGGCTCAACTCTTCAGCCTTCAGCTTCTGAACCAACTTGGTCAGAGGCAGCTCCAGGATAAACTGAGGATCCAACTCTGGCTCCTGTGGAAATGAAGGAAAGGACGGGCGGATGCCAAAAACTAATCACTCAGGCCCTCCCTGGTGGCACAGGGGTTAAAGTCTCCACAATACCCAGGCACCCTGTTTCTCCCACACAGGCATATCTTTCCTGGGGCCTCAGAACCATATACCCACTCTGATGCTCATGCATACGCAGGCCTTATCTGTCAAACCTGTTCTTCATGAAATCCCAAGTTGATATTCATCTCAGAATCATCTCAGATCCCTCTTTTCCATTCATGATCTGATGTTATTCCTAACATCTAACACTGGTGAGCTTGCAACACATATTACAACAATCAGAACATGTGGGAGGTGAGAGGGTTCACTAGAGACAGAATGGGGAGCAGAACAGGCTGAGGGGAGAAGGGGGCAAGACAGGAGAGGTCTGCTGCACCTCCTGCCTCAGCTCCCTGGTCTGGGATCAAACTTGTGCTGCTGGCTGCCTACTGATAGCTTGATAGCACTGAGACTTAAGCCCTGCGCCGCCAGGGAGGCCCTACTCTCTGTGAAATTTTGCTAAACTGCACTGAATTGGATTTGTTTGAACCCAGCAAGGGTTCCCACCACCCTGGAGCATAAAGGTAGATACCTGAAGCTGGAGGGAACCCCTGATGAAGGAGTGACCTACCTGGGAAGTGTCTAGGATAGATCTGTCTATCTTTGTTGAGGATAGAATGAGGCATTGAGAACCAAGGGGCCTGGAGCCTTGAGAGGAAGCTCACTCCAGGTGAGCTCTCCCGGATCGCCTTCCACTCCTCCACACACACCTCTCAGGTGCACAGTTCATACGCCCGGTCCCACACATACACTGATGGAAGGTCCTTATTTGTCAGCCACACGACCACACGTGCCCCGCCCCCCCAAACATGCAAACCCACACCACGAGCACAGTTCATACACGCACAACTCGGCAAATGACACCACAGGCACATAGCCAAGCACAAGCTGCACGGGGCAGACACGCACCAGCCAGCACGCAGTGAAACACCAACAGGAGGCGGCGCCAGGGAGGCCCTGGCGTTTGCAGTAAAGGACCCTGAGCCCACCGCGGTGCACAGATGGACCTCTGCACCACGCGGGAATCCTCTCCATCATGCTGATTCGCCACAGCAACCCCATTAGCCCCGATTTCCTCTTCATCAGCCAGGGAGGGGCAGCTGCTCTCTGGGGGCAGATTGATTTATCCAACTAATTAGCCCCAATTAATATTAATACACATTCTCAGAAACTGCAGCCGCTTGGGCAGAGAAGCTGCCCATTGGGGCCATCAATCACCGTCCAGGGGACGGCAGAGGACACTCAGGAGGTCCAGAACACAGCGACAGCACCTCGGGCACAAGCCCTACCCCCAGGGGCTCCCAGAGGGAGTCCATCATCATTAAGCCAAGTTGGGAACCCTAAGACACTATGAACCCGCCCCTCCTCAGGCAGCTGGGGAGTCTGAGGCCCAGAAAGGAACCTCTGGGCCACACAGCCAGGTGCAGGCCCTCTGTGAGGTCCTTGGTCATCCTTCGGTCCTTCTCTGCCACTCCAGGCTGAGGTTGCGAACACTGAGTGACTCAGTCACTTTGCCTGCTAAGCCCAGGGGGCCACAGTGACTCTCGGTGCCTTGAAATACGCCAATGCAAGCTGATAAAGCGCCTCTTTAAATCACAGGTCTTCCTGGGAGGGTCCTACCCCGCGACCCCCACCCCTCGACCCCCCAGCTCTTTGTCTGTCAGGTGTTTGGGAAACGCGATGGCACTGGGGTGAGGGGGGCTGCCGGGGGGTGCTCGGGCCAGAAGGAGGACTGCTCCTACTTCCAATTGCTCTGTCAGCTTATACCCCAAGTGAACAGAGACCACTGAGTTCTCCTCCTTAGCGTTGCAAACACCAAATTGCTGTTTCTAAGCCTGCCTGTGCCTGCAGGAGCCCCAGCACTGCCCTTGGCCTCAAGGGGCTCAGAGGACATAAAGAAGGGACTGAGGGTGATGCAGAGAGCCAGCACAGGGAGAGTTGGAGGTGGGAGACTAGGTACCCCGAAGCCCTGTTTTCCACAGAGGAGGGGACAAGGAGAGATCCCTCCATGAGATCCACCATTTGGGACTGAGGGCTGGGGTCCCACGGGCACTTCCCCACTCACCTGCTGCCGGAGACGCTGTGCCAGGGTCTCCATCTGCTGCAGTGCCATCTCCCTGCGCTTCTGTGCCCTGGGGATCTTGTTCCGTGCTGGAGCCTGCTGCCAGAAAAGGGAAGACCCCAACAGAGCAGCCCCCAAAATGGCCAGTGGGAGAAGCGCCACCAGGGAGTAAGCCAGCCAAGTCAGCCCAAGCATTGTGGCCCCTGTGTGGTTACAACTGCTCCTCCAGAGCCTCGCACAGTTATATGTCAGGCACACTGTGACAGCACCTCCTTAATGGGTAGCCCTCTGGAGCAGAAGCCACGGCCCTGGGTGTGACCAAACCCAGCCTCCTCCCGGCTCCCTTTTACCCCTACTCAGCCTTCCTGAGAACACAGACACCTTGTGACTGGTCATGCAGAGGAAGAAACTTTGGCAGATAGCCCGAGAAGGCGCCCAGCAATCAGATGATTAGGACGCAGGTGGAACGTAACGTTTTAGTTCTGGTAATATTTGCATTTAGGAAGGCCACCCATTGCCATATATAGGATAACTGGAGAAGAATGGTGTAAAGTCAGGGGCAGACAGACAAGAAGCCGATTGTTCCTGCTTCACGGCCTCCTCTCCCTGCCATCCCCCGGACATCCACCAGCACCCTAGTGCTCTGATGGGGTTGTCCCAAAGGTGTCCTGTTGCCTTCATGATAATCACCAACTCCTTCATCATGGGTCATGGGCCACACGGCCGTGCGCTGAGCAGGCCGTACCTGCTGGGGAGAGCCAGAAGTCTGGGGCCGGCCAGGAGGAGCACAGGGACCCTAGGGGAGGATGCTCAAAGGCATTTGTCCCAGGGGAGCCAACGCAAGGAAGCGAGGACGGACACGACAGGCCGACACGGCTGCCCCTGCCTCCATTCTCCTCTCCCGAAGCCAGGCCGCCCTCTGAGGCTGGGACCCAACCTCCCCAGTGTATTGGGTCTGCCTTCCAGACTCATCTCCCACTTTCTTGTTGGGTTAGGCACTGCCTACATGCAGGTCAAGTGGGGGAGAAGAGGCTGTGGGCGGGATGGATGTGGAGGGGAAGGACACTTTAGATTGGCAGAAAAGTCACTGGAGGAATTGAAGCAATAGAGCAGGAGGGGCTTGCTTTGGAAATCCCCCCCAGGCCCGTGGCTGGGTCTGTCCAGTTCTGTCTCAGAGGCAGAGCTAAGCGACATCTCCACCGAGACTGCAGCCGTCACCGGCTGGGAGAGTGTGGCTCAGCCCTCAAGTCTGGGAAGCCAGAAGCAGCAGGTTTTGCAGTTGGTGACATGGGGTCCGAGCACCCAAAAGTCACCCAGAGTCAGGCCAAGCAGTAGGTAGTAGGTAGTTGACCTGCTGGATGCAACCTACATGGTAGCCCGAGGTCATCCACACTCTTAACACTCTGACTGCATCTACTCCAAGGGTCCTCGGAACTAGCCCTCCCCCTCCTCCTCCTCGGCAAGCACCCCTAGGTGCTTCGCCCCTTTTCTCTCCATCTCCTGCCCACATGCCCCTTGCCTCACTGAGTTCTGATTCCCCCGAGGGCCCGGGGACTTTGTTACACCATCCTTCCTTGAGTTGCATCCTCCATTGCCACATCCCTCCATATCTCTTTATCACACTTAGTACTAATTGAAATGATTTGTGTGTTTATTATTTTACTTATTTCTTACCTCCCTCCCTAGAAAAATATTTCATGAAAGCAAGAGCTGTGTCGACCTTTTGCACATGACAAGCACTAGACATTCCTTAATAGCTGAGCTGAGCCCTCCAGCCCTGTGTATCTCGGCTGGCTATTTCTCACAGCATTTAAAATCCTTCCCATTTTTTGGAGAAAATAATAACAATAATAATGAACAACTATATACCAGAGATATTTTATGGGGGTGGAGTGGGGGATGGGGTGGGGGAGAAGTTCAGTGGACTATGGTGATGGGAAGCCCACGGGGATTACAACTGAGATGGAAAAAGGCACAAAATGATGTAAAAATAAGCTATTATATTATTTTTTAAAATCCTTCCCATTTTTAATCTTGTTTAGATTCCCTTAGATTTATATCTGATTACATCCACAGCTACTACCCTTATATCTCTGCTTCCAGAAGATTCTCAATTCACCTATACTTAGTTGCCTTTATTTCCTTATTTTCACCCACTTCTCTAAGTCCAGACTAGTACCCAAATCATGCATTGACCTTGAAGTTAAATTAGCACCCTTTGAAGCCTTTGAAGTCATCACCTCTACCTTTCTTGAAATTCATCCTTAGGGCCTTCCAAGTTCTCAGTGTTAGCAAGCTATTGGCAGGTAGCTGCAGCAGCAGGATTTGGATCTTAGATCCCCAGCCAGGGAGCTGACCCACATGGCACAAGAAGCATGACCCACATGGTTTCCCAAGTTGCATTCTGTGGCAATGCAATCAATTCTTGGTTTAAAGTCACTTTTGCTTTGGCCCTCCCTGGTGGCGCAGCGGGTTAAAGCACAGCACTAAGAAGCTAGAGCCACTTCCTCATGAGTTCGATTCCCGCTTGCCCTGGAGGTGACCACATGGCGTGGCAGACCTCTCCTGACCCACCCGCTGCTTCGCTCAGCAGTGTACTTCATGATCTGCCTGTTCTGCCCCCCCACTCTGTCTCCGGTGAAGCCTCTTGCCACCCCTGAGCCTCTGGCCTGTACCCCAGTTCTGTATGCACAAATAAATAAATCTTTAAAAAAAAAAGTCACTCCTTCTAGGAAGTACACACACACACACACAGACAAGGATACCAGAGCAGAAAATCAAGTCTACTCTCACAAAGTAAAGGGGTAAAGCAGTGCTTTTGCCTTGTCAAGTTATGCATTGATGTCTGCTTGCTAGTAGAGTGAAAACTCCATTCAGGCAGGAACTGGTTATCTGAGTATACTGTGGGAGAATGTCTACATATTTACAGGATGGGTGGGGAGAGGGAGGGAGGGAGGGAGAGGGAGAAGCGGGGAGATGGGGGGGTGGATAGATGAGGACCCGCATGCACACCAGGATAAAGCTAAAGGTTGAGTTTTGACTGGGAGTTATTTTTTTTAAAAGATTTATTTATTTATGCATACAGAGCTGGGGCACAGGCCAGAGGTGCAGGAGTGATGAGAGGCTTCACTGAAGTGGTGGCTAGCCTGCAGTGGTGTGCTTTAATCTGCTGTGCCATCAAGGAGGGCCAGAGCTTACTAGGGTACAGGCCAGAGGTATAGGGGATGAGAGGATTCATCAGAGACAGAGCGGGGAGCAGAAGAGGTGGAGCTACTGAAATACACTGCTGAGGGGAGCAGTAGGTAAGACAGGAGAGGTCTGCTGCACCAGTGGGTCACTGACTGGCCAGGGATGGAACTCGTGCTGCAGTGGCTGCAGCCAGTTTCATAGTGCTGCACTTTGACCCATTGTGCCACCAGGGTGGCCCCTCCAATGGGAGGGAGTTATTTATCCTAATAATCAAAATCATGATAAAATAAATGTGAAAAGGGCTGACCAGGAAATTTTCTGTTAGAGACAAGAAAAGGAGGCAATCAGGAAAGGCCAAAATGCACGCACTGCGTAACAAGTCACCCACTTCTCTACTCAACAAGCCTTCACTGGGGACCCCCTGAGGACTCAGTACCACGCTGGGGCTAGCGTGGTAAAAACCCCACATGGCCCTGCCCTTAGTGACCTCCGCTTCCTCAGGAATCCAGGGTTGTCTGTGGGATCCCGGATCGCCTTATTCTCAAGGATATTGTCTTGGTGCCCAGAGTTCCTGCTTGTCAGGCAGGTGGAGGGCCATACAGGGGCCCCCTCTCACCAAGGGTAAAAATCCTGGTATCGGAAAATACTGGAAACCAGTGTCTGCTGAAAGAGATAAGCTTCAACCAGCAGGAACAATGGAGCCCACAGGCAGTAGCCCTTGGTCACTGCACCCTTGTTCACATCCCCAATAACTGCTCCCCACACGATGTTAATAAGTATGGAGGCGCCTTTAGAGGAGGCTGTACACTGCATCCCGCTGGGGCCCCTCTAGGCTTCCCTTTGCTCCACATGGGACGAGAGTTCTCTCTCTCGTCCCGCATTGCTCCCAACACTGCCACCCCATGAGGAAACAGCTGTCATTGCTCATGTGTGTGCAAAGTGGGAGAAACAGGGCAGGACAAAAAGGCAGGGGCAGGTGGCAGTGATTTTATAAAATGATAAAAGGCTGACATTGCAGCAACTATTTGCTCATCCCAATTAGCTGTCCGTGTGGGTTGCGCCATGTCTGTGCCTTGAGACCAACCCCAACTGATGGGGATGCCACACTGGTGGGAAGGGCAGGACCACTGTGCATGCCACCTGGGTGGGGAGCTCTCTCTGGTGGAAGAAAATCAAGGTGTGGCAGCAAGCCTTGGGAAGGAGGCATGCCTGAAGAATGTGAGTGATGGCTCAGAGCCAGCAACATCTTCTTAAGCAAGCAGGAGAATGAAGTTTGTGGGGCCCACGGAGGCCCAATGAGGGTTGTGGGGCCAGTGAGGAATGAGGAAACTGTTCTCGGGGCCAAGACGTTCTCATAGTTTGTCACAGACCAGTCACCCTCCCACCAGCCAGAAAACTCAAGCTGGTGAGACGTGGGCTGGCCTACTCCAGCCTGGGACAGTTCACTTCCAGCTCAAATGTCAAGTCCTAAAGCGCCTCTCCCTGTACCCTGGGCCAGTGCTCTAGCTCAGCCTCAGAACCCCCCGCCCTAGGTGAGGGCCATGGAATGGACATCCTATCTCTCTCCAGGTTCTACCCCTCCTGTGTGGTCCTTTGAGAACTCCCCATTGCCCTTGAGACAGAATTCAAGCTCCTGAGCTGGTTCCCAAGTCCACCATGACCTGGGCCCCATCTAGATCCCTGCTGCTTGTCTTGGCCCCATTCAACACCTGCACCTATGGACTACATCCTGGTCTTTGGGCACATGGTTCCTTCTTCCTGGGATGTCCTCATCCCCTGTCCCAGGCTCTGGGAAGCTTGTAGATTCCACGTAGATCCTCCCCCTTCAGGAAACCTGCCCATAGCAATCTAGCTCAGTCTCATCACCTCCCCAGCCCTTTTTCCGATGGCACCAGCGTGGGACCAGCAGTCTGTGGCCCTGTGCAGGCCCTAGGGTGGCCTCTGAGGACAGAGCTTGCAGTGACAGTGTGCTTGCCATCCAGGAGTACCAGTGTGCTGCTGAGGTG